AACAGCTGTAATTTTCTGGTAAAAAATATCTCTAGATGACAACTCTTTTCGGTGAGATTTGGAAGAAATGTTATCAGGTCAACATGGAATGAATCAAATATTAACATTTTACCCAAACCCACACTTAGTGAATAAACAGAGAATTTTCAAGTGATCTCTCTCTTATTTTTCCTATATGTCATGGCATTTCCTGAAGGGTAGTAGCGAGAGGTAGCTGTTAAACTTGAATGGAGAGCATGTGGAAGAATCCACCAGATGGTACTCTTGGACTCCATTAGAAGAGCTTACGCATGGCGTGCTTGAGCAGATCTGTCAGAGGTGTTGTATGTGCTTTAGGATATCTGTCAGTTTTCCTGGAAAACAGCCTATATTTCTGCAGTAATGTAAAAGCAAACCGGAAGCTTTAATATCGCAATGAGTCACTGTCTTCTCCCCGAGGAGTTTGTCAATCAACCTTCAATAAATCCCACGCTTTAAACAGCACAAACAAAGATGCAGAAATTGTGTGGCTTATTTGAATACATTAGCAAAGAGAGAAAAATACCAAATTTCCTCAATATTGAAGATATTTGAAGATAGTTTTGGCACTATATGCAAATTAGGCATTATGTGAACTTTTTTTTTCCAATTATGCTATTAGTATTAATAATAATAACCGTTATTATTATTATTATATTACACTTATGTTGCCTTTGTTACAGTGTTGTTAGATAAGTAGTGATTATTATTAATTATAATTATGTTTACTATTGTTACACTATTATTATTATTACTACTACTAAGGTGTGCTTGTTGCAATGTTAAGGCAAAATTAAGTACCATAGCAGGATGTTTGCCGAGTCTCAAAAAGTATTAAAAGTTGATAAATCAATGTAAAGAAATTTAAGGTGCTTAAAAAGTCTTAAATGCTGTTTTGCAAGGTATTAAATTTGATATAATTTTTTAATTTGCAATGTCTGGTTGTATGCTAAAGTTTGCCTGAATTAAATCTGTGAATATCATCCCACAGCAATTCGTAACTTTTTGATTTAGTGGCTAATTCGGATGAATTTGTAGGATCTAATTCATACAATGTAGTACGATTTGCTCATCACCTAATGACGGTTGGGGTTAAGAGTGAAGTTGGGTGCCACCGCTCCTTTTTAAATTCGTAGGAATTAGCCACTAAACTGACAAAACGTAAAATACTTAGGTTTCCTCGTGAGATCAGGCTGGAATATCAGGATGCTGTGTAGAAATTAATGAAATCCTGCTAGACGTGACATTATGCTTAATAGATTAGTTTACTACATTAATATTTAGTAAACATACTGTAAGTTAAAATCTCGCATCGTCTTAAAATGTACGGAAAGAGTCTTAAAAAAGGTCTTAAAAGGTATTGAATTTCACTCTATGATTCCTGTATATACTCTGTATAGTGTTAGGATTGGTATTTGTAATTATGAATTGCTTGTAATTATACTGTTATTAGTAATTATATGTAACATTACAGCAAAATACTGTGAAATGACGTGTTACCTAAAATGCTATTATGATAATTGTGGTAAATATAAATCCAAGAATCCAGTTCTACTCAGTTAAAATGGTATAATCCCAGTAACTGTTTTACAGTTTTCATGTAGGACAGCAGTGATGACCAGTGATTATCATGGCTTTGTTAGTTTTGCGAGGGCTTTTAAATAACATTTTACTAAGAAATAGCAGCTTCTACTTAATAAATTATGCATAATAACATAATTCAGGAGGATTTTTTAATATTTTAATAAAGTCTCTGCTGTTCGCGTGCATATATTTTATTTAAAATACAGTAAAAAAAGAAATACTGTGATAGCACTGTAATTTATTGTGCATTTTTCAGTTTTAATATAATTTAAAATGCAATTAATTAATGTGATGCACAAAAAATAATTGTAATAATTTATATAATAAAATAAAAATAATATAAGTAATAAACATATACAAATATAAATCACTGTTTTGAAATATGCAGTGGTCATGCAAAATAATGCAATAGTTCTTAAAAAATATGTATTTTTGAGTAGTCTAATGCACATTCTGCCCTATATATTGTATTTGCATATATGTACTTGAGATGTTTGTACAGCATGTCAAATCTAAATTATGATTGTTTTATTTTAAAGATTAAATAAATATAAATTTAGAGCAATTTAATGGAATTTTTCTAAAGCGCACATTATGAATGAAATAAAATACCTCTCCTCCACTCTTGATCTCTAAAAACATGACTGCAGATTTGACTACAAAGAATCAAACGTTTTTGCATCTCTCTTGCAGTGACAGAGACGCACTTCATCTAAAAAGTGCAGGTACCACAGAAAGAGAGAGAGAGAGAGAGACAGTAAGAGAAGAATAAAAGAGGGAGGGAGAGAGAGAGTGAGAGACAAACAAGGGAAGCCAAAGAAGAAAAGACTCGGAGCTCCCTCTGCCCCCTCAGATCTCTCCAGGGAACGAGAGAGTAGGGCAGAAAATACAGGGACGGAGGAAGAGGAGACTGTTGAATGTAGTTGAGCATCGCATGCAGAGGTAATAACATCACATTTCTATTCTAATCAAAGAGACGAGGGCGAGAGAGAGGGGCTTTTCCATTGGTTCTGCTTTTGAGATCAAATACCAGCAGGGAATGCTTGAATTCATGTTTTAAAAAACTGAGAGGCAGAGAAGGAATGAGAGCGAGAAATGGGTAAAGCAGGCGAAAGGAGGGAGAAAGAGAAAAACGCTAAGTTAATTAACTGTCAGACTTCAGAAAGCTGTGCAGGATCAGAAGCCCAAGATAAAACAGAGCAAAAATATATACGTCCAGCACGTTCATGCATGTTTGGCTTCTTTCTGCTGTTTCATACCTGGTCGCAGCAGCCAATGAGAGACTGTGATGGGACCAAAGCTGACACCCAGAGCAAAGCGGACCACAGATTTCTGACATGGTGTCGACCCAGATTGATGGAAGGAAAATGAGGGGAGAGAGGACAGACGTAGACAGACTTGTGTCGCTGCTTCAGAAAACACAGGTAAACGCTTGCGTTCTTACAGCCTGCTGTGTAACTTAGTTCACCATTTTCCACTATCATTTCAACACCTTTGTTTATCCACGCTTTGCTCTGTTTGGAGGGATTACACACCGTTAGAGCTCTGTTATGGATTTATGCACGGCTGCAAATCTCCTTAAAAAAAAAAAAAAAGAGGCATTTGTTGTTGTTTTTTTAAATCATTATGATTGGTTGAATCAGATGTTTCCTTACATCAGCCAAAATGAAATATTCAGCCAGAATATTTACGTTTTAAATGAATGCAATGGCATCTGTGTTTGTGTCTTAGGTCAATAAATAGACATAAAACATTATTTCATATTTCATATAAATTTATATTAAGCAAGCTGCTCAATAAAAAACAAAGATTAATTTTTATTTATATTTATTTATAGATGTTTTTGATATACTTGAATCATCGTTTTTAGCAATACACTGTATAAATTCAAAAACGTTCTGTCTAAAATTGTGTTTTGAGGTTGATATATTGACGTAAAATCATAATTTTAAGCAATACTCTGCATAAATTCATAACATTCTGTGCAAAAATGTTTTTTGAGGTTGATATATTGTCGTAAAATCATAATTTTAAGCAATACTCTGCATAAATTTAAAACATTCTGTCTTAAAATGCTTTTTGAGGTTGATATATTGTCGTAAAATCATAATTGTAAGCAATACTCTGCATAAATTCATAACATTCTGTCTAAAAATGTGTTTTGAGGTTGATCTATTGTCGTAAAATCATAATTTTTAGCAATACACTGCATAAATTCAAAACATTCTCTAAAAAATGCTTTTTGAGGTTGATCTATTATAGTAAAATCATCATTTTAAGCAATACACTGCATAAATTCAAAACATTCTCTCTAAAAATGTGTTTTGAGGTTAAAATATTGTCGTAAAATCATCATCTTAATGCCTAAATTGAAATGATTAGCATTTAAAAACGATGAAGGATATTTCCTTTTTTGATGCTATATCTTGCACAACTTCTATCTAAAATAAGGAAAAATTTGAGTTTGCATAAAGACTAAATGATCCTAAAATCATCCATTCATACATTTATCGTATTTATCACTGACTCATTTTGAAGCAGTATGTTGCACAAGTTCTAAGCGTGCATTGAGATATATGGGGAATATTGATATATAGATATATTCAGTGTTGTATTGCCACTTAAAAAGACAAATTACCATTGAAGCAATATGCTGCTGAAATTTAAAAAAAAAGTGTCATTTTGAGTTTGCATTGAGATCACGATTTATAATGTGTTTATATATCCATATTATTACTCCATTACTCACTTTGAAGCAAAATGTTGTACAAAGTGTCTAAAAAGTAATTTCTTGAGCTTGTTTAGAGATTAAAGTCGTTCATGTGTTCATACATTAATATAATTACTTAATGACTCACTTTGAAACAATATGTTGCATTCCCTCTTCAAAAGTTCATATAAATTTCATATAATTTCTGGAATTCCAAACTGATCAATTATTTTCTTGAATCTGAAATTGATCAATTAACTTTCATTCTGTCGTAAGATGGCCAGTTGCATTAATTGCTTGTATGTGTCCTGTTATTGATTAAAATGTCAAGACATTTGCACTTAAAACTGTAATCACTAGTCAACAATCGTTTATCGAGTTGGGGTCAAACACATGCAGCTGTCCTTTACCTCACATCTCCAATCAATGTGTGTTTTTCAGATGGTAAACCGAGGACGTTCTTCCTCTGATGTGTCCACCAGATATTTTGTAAGGTGTTGTGCTGTAAATAAGGTGTGTGGACTCAGTGTACAGCACTAATCTTAGAGACGGGGGAGGAGAGCGATTCTCCACATACATACAGTACAAACCCCCTCTGCCAATCAGAGAGAGAGAGAGCAGCAGAGCGAGTGAAGAAACAGGGGAAACGGCTCCAGCAGTTATCTTAGGTGGACAGAGAGAAAGAATTACACTCGAACACGCCACACGGTACAAGACGCTTCAGCCAGCGGAGGCGGATAACTGGCCAGACGCCTCCTATCTGCAGCTCCAGACCAAGAAGATTCCTCACTAATTCTCTCCCGGCTTCATCCCAAGCTTGAAGAGGAGGAATAAGGGAAGAAGAAGGAAGAGGAAAGTGCTTTGTGACTTCCCTGAGAGTGAGGGCAAACGCCGTCAATAGAAAGACTGAGAGAGAGAGCAGGGGAAATCTCCCCCTCGCCCTCTCTCGACCCGGATCACCGTCAGGCTGGCTGGCACAGCCATGGCCTTCACCTTTGCGGCCTTTTGCTACATGTTAACACTCGTGTTGTGCGCCGCCCTCATCTTCTTCGTCATCTGGCAGGTACGCTTTGAGCCATCTATTGTGTATAACTCTTAAAACTGAAGGTTGTCCTGACCTTATTTATGGAACGAACACACTATTAAGAAACTTTCATTGACACATAAATGCATGAATGTATATTATTATTACGTTTTCGGGTCTGTTGTGAACCTGACCTACAGTCAGAATTATTAGGCCCTGTATATATATATTTTTCCCAATTTCTGTTTAACGGAAAGAAGATTTTTCCAAAACATTTTCATACAAAATAGTTTTGATAACTAATTTCTAATAGTTGATGACAGCACATAATATTTTACTGGATATTTTACAGCTGTTAATTCAGCTGTCTATGTCTAACAAGGATGGATTTCTAGCTACTGCAATAGCCATGGGCACCACAAGGGGGGGCAAAGTTAGAATGATTCTAAGGGCCAACGCCATTTTGGGGCCTCCAGAGTAGGCCTGGGCGATATGGCAAAAATGCAATCTCGATAATAGTTTTCCATGTTGAACGATAACGATATATATTTCAATATATATTTTAAGTGCGTGCTTCAACATTCATTTCCAGTGGCACACACCCAGTTTAATGAATTCCGCGAGGGCACAACGAGTGCCACGAGTCAATTGACCAATCAGCTTCAGCTTGTATGGAATATACACATTTCGGTAGACTAATTATCTCAGACAAACACAGAACAACTAAACACTCCTGTGCTTTGTAATTTTTTTCCATAAATCAGAATACTTAGAGTGACAGCAACACTGCTACACCCCACCAACCTCCGTGGTAAAATTGTCGCGTTGACCTGCCCACGGTGATAAAAATGTTTAGGCCCACTGCATTAAATGGTAAAACATAATTTCAACCGATAATTCGATCAAAAATAACTTCAACAAAAATTCGGTACATCTCTAACATCAACACACTTCTAGATTCCCATTGTTGCACATTTCTGCACTGTGATTGGCTCTTAGATCAAAACAGAGTAAAAAAAAGTCCAGCGCTTATCAATGTTATTGACCTAAATTTTATCGAGATTCAATATAATATTGTTTATCGGCCCAGCTCTACCCCAGAGTTACTATTAGGGGGCCCAATCAACCCCCCCTTCAATTTTGTCCACAACCTCAACACCATACCCCCTCATCCCCCTGCTGTTCAGTTTCGCGACACCAGTGCCCTCGACACTACCCTCTATTCTGCCGCCGTAGACGCAGATATAACTGAGGGCGCGGGTGGTGAGGGTAGTGTCGGGGATGCCACCCACTCTATTCTGCCGCCCTAGACGCGGATAAACTGAGTTTATCTGGGGGTTTATTCGGGGAAGCTGCCCTCTCTATTCTGCCACCCTAGGCGGCCGCCTATGTCGTCTCTATGGACGCGCCGGCCCTGGTGGTAATAGAGCAGTGAGAGAATTAAATCAGATGCTGAAATAATAGTTTTCCTGGGGTCCCCTTAAAATGTTTATATTGAGTAATATAATAGGAAAGTTATAATGGGAATGTTTTCAATGAAACAGTAAAACAGCTTCTGTCGTAAACATAACTTGACGATACTTCACACAGACACAACTTTAACTCAAACGTTGTAATCTAATTATATATTAGAAACATCTGTTTTATAAAATACACAGAATTCACATTTTTTATATGTATGCGTCTAATTTACGATGTAAAGCAAAAATGTTGCAGACATCCCAAGTATCGCGGAACTTCCGGAAGTCTCCTGCAAATGCACATAGACTCCCGGATGCCTGCAAAACGAATAATAGTCTCCTGGAAATCGCGCATCTCCTGCCTGGTTTTCAAATACTTCACGCATTCTTGTCCACCGCATCCCTCCCCGCTCTTCAGATACATCACGTACCCCCCCCCAAACCATTCCCACTCCCCGCGCGCACAAAGTCCCCCACCCACCCCCCACACTCTTAAGATACATCACCTGTTGAAGTCATTCCTGCACCGCTCAATTATGACAAAACATCACCATCATCAGCCACCTACAGTATAGGAATAAAGGTAAACTGCGCTTATTGAATCATCTGACATTTATTATGAATTCTTGCAATTGTGAAGGAAATATTCTTACACTATTACATACCTCAGGCCACTAGTGACCCTATACTTTTTTTAAAGAATTTAAGTATAAACCTCACATTATTTTGTATTGTTTTCCTTGTTGTATTGTTTAATACTAAGAAGGCTGATGTCTAACTTTAAAAAAAAGGATAACGGAGTGTGTAGTGAGTATGTTCTGAGTAACTAGCCACTCAAGATAACCATTTAAGAGATAAAATGTTCTTCATGAAAGCACTAATTTCACTAACAAACCTTTATTTTTAAGAGTGTGTACGAGTTCCTGTTACCTGCGACACTTTCACACTTCCATTTCAATTGGCATCAGAATCCATGTCATCGCCAAGTTTCTGACTGTGTAAGTGTGAATGTGTGTGTGAATGTGTGTATGTGTGTGTGCCAGTTCTTGAGTGCAGAGACTGGTGTGTGTCTGTCCAAGCTGTCTCCCCTGCCCTTAACAAGAGCCCTTATCCATGAGGTGAATACAAATCACTGCAGTTATTATTAGAGCAGACATTCTGAGTCATGGATGATTAATGATTTACAGAACAAGTAGACGGATACAAAAAAAATGGAGGAAGGAGGTGGGAGTTTACCTGTGTGTAGCTGTGCACAAACACACACACACACACACACACACACACACACACACACACACACACACACACACACACACACACACACACAGACAGACACACACACACACACACACACACACACACACACACACACACACACACACACACACACACACACACACACACACACACACACACACACAGTATATACACATACTGTCAGTAATAGATTTAATAATGTATCTTCTGACAAAGAATTAAGAAGTTTTATCACACAATAAAACTCAAAGAAATGAAAAGTTATATTTTCAGCGAGAAGTATTTTATTTACCTTTAAAATGTATGTTATAATATTAAAATTATTATTGATTTAATTTAAGAATTTTCTTATGTTTAATTTTTTTACTTAGTTTTTTCTGTTTTCTTCATTACTCTAATTAGATTATTTTTTTATACAGACTTTAAAAAATGTGTAAGAAATATACTATTGCAAATAAATATTTGAAGAGTTCAGATGCAAGAACCAACCACCAAACCAAGTGCCATCTGAAATTTTCTTCTAAAATTAGCATTTTTCCCAGGCTCCCATATGCATGTTCAGTAATTTCACTTACATAGTGTATGTGTGTAAATGAGAGTGTATATGTGTTTTCCAGTGTTGAGTTGCAGCTGGAAGGGCATCCGCTGCGTAAAACAAATGCTGGATAAGTTTAAGATTAATAAGATTAATAAAAGTACTAAGCCAAAAAGAAAGTGAATGAATGAATTAAATAATTTAGTTTTGAAGAATAGTTTGGGAGTTTTAAAACAAATAATATTACATTTATTAATATGTTAATATTCTGTATTTTTTTACAGTATTCTCTGTTTTACAGCGATGAAAAATCTAGTAGACAAAGTAAATTGTATATTAATAATTTTTTTTTTAATTGTTCAAAATGCATTTATTTATTATTTTTTTAATTGTTTAGACACATATATACATTATGTAAATATAATTTATAAAATTAAAATATTTCACAATATCAATTTAGCCATCTATTCCCCATTAATTAATTTATTCATTCATTCATTCATTCATTCATAGCAACCCCCACCCCCTTTTTAAAATGTGTTTATTTATTTATTATGTGTTTTGGTTTCCTTTACTTACGCAATTTATATGACGTTATTTATTTATTGTATTTATTTAATTATTTTGTGTGGTTCTGCTTTTATGTTAATGCTCTGTATTTGATTTTTTTGATTAAAATTGTTTTTTTATTAGGTTCATCTTAGGTCAGACATTAAAATATACATAATATTGAAACATATAGATATACACACTAATAAAATGCACCAAACAAAAAAATTATTAGGAAAACATCATTATGCAGTAAATAAGTATAAAAAGGTAAAATACCACAAATATATAAACAAAGATATACGAACATAAGATAACAAAATAAGAATAATAAAAAACAAAGAAAAATAAATAAATAATATAAAGAAAAGAAAGGATAAAAGGCAATTAAGATATAGGTCTCCTTAAAATTTTTTAGAAAAGGGCTCCAGACTTTCTGGAACTGTTCTGGCTTTTGTTTTATTGCGTACCGAATCTTTTTCATTTAAAGAGCATGTAAGAAATCAAAAACCCATTGCCGATAAGAAGGGGGTGCTAGAATAAGAATAAGTCTAGCCAGTAAGGTTGCAATAGCTACACTATCGGCCTGTAATGAATTTAATGCAACATTTTCTGGCAGGATTCCAAACAGTGCTGTTAAGGGGTTTGGGTCTACGGACACTGAAAAAACAGCAGAAAACACATGAAGACTTTCCCCAAAAATCAGACAGTTTCAAACACGACTAGAAAGTATGTAACGGTGTGGCTGGTTCGGTTGTACAGCAAAGGCAAGTTGGGTCAAAATTTTATTCAGTTTATTTCTAGACCAGTGTATTCTGTGCACGACCTTGAATTGAATGAGAGTTGGCCTAGCGTTTATCGATAGTGAATGTATACTTGCAAGAATAAGATCCCAGATATTTTTTTGTATTTGATATTCATCTGCATTATTTGAAATAGGATAAATCAATAAAGAGTTCAAATCATAAAAGAAATGCCAACTGACCCAGCCGGAACTCAAACCAGCGACCTTCTTACTGTGAGGCGACAGTGCTAACCACTGCACCACCCTGCTGCCCTCCATCTATTCTTCAAATCACTTACTAAATATGTATACAAATATTGATTCAGCATTATTATATTATTATAAAATATTTACTTTTTAGAATTCAGATTTTTAAGTGTGGCTTGTTTTCAACACCATTCCCTGATGCACGCACACACACACACACGTGCGCGCGCGCTGAAGAGGAAGAGGTCAACATCTCATTTGAACTCGGCCGGTTGTTCTGTGCCTGCCTGCTGTCTGCAGAATCACAAATGAAATTTACACAGTCGCCGCCAGAGACCCCAGCATCATCTGTATTCTTCATATTCTCGCAAAAAGCAAACAGCAGACAAACACAATGGCCCTGAACGGCTAAAATCGTCCTGAAACACCGCTAAAACACTGGAGAGCAACACTTCCAGCATCCAAAACACGAGAAGTCAAGATTAGACGGCAGACTGTACGTGTAAGACGTTCAAAGGGCCATTAAGAAACAGACTTGAAATGACTGAGCATTGACTAATGACAGGAGTGGGAGAGAATCTGAACATGAGTCATTTGGTGCGAGTGTAAATGTATGTGAGAAGAGGAGAGCATGGAGACGGAGAGTGGGGGAGGCTGCGAGTCTGCGGATGACTGAGAAAGCGTGTTATTGAAACGCTTATCAAACCGTAATTTCGATCTGACACTCCATCCCCCCTTTCCCCTCCTTCTCCCCCCCCCCATCTTCACATGGCTATCAGCCAGTAAGAATTCACTTCTATGGTAACCATGACACCCGATCGCCATGGCAACTGCATCTGTTTACAGAGAACGAAGTGAGCAAGATATGAGCTGTGTGTTCCGATTGACTGGGTCCCTACGCAGTGTTCCCTACTCCCTGTTGCCTGAGCATGCTGTTCATTCCTTCACATTCCTTCACCTTATACTAGACAAACCTGTTCATTGGGAGAATCCTGTAACGCCATCACACCAAAAAGAAACGCCAGTCATGATGTGAGGGTTGACCAAATAAATTGGCTAATGCTATTGGGAATTACTGCATTATACACACCGGCCATTTTATTGGGCACACCTTACTTGTACCAAGTTGGACCCCTTTTCAGATTCAACAAGGTACTTCCTCTAACATTCCTCAGAGATTTTGGTCCATATTGATATGATAGCATCACGCAGTTGCTGCAGATTTGTCGGCTGCACGTCCATGATACGAATCTCCCTTTCCACCACATCCCAAAAGGGCTCTATTGGATTGAGATTTGGTGACTGTGGAGGCCAGTTGAGTCCAGTAAACTCATTGTCATGTTCAAGAAAACAGGCTGAGATGATTTGTGCTTTATAACATAATGCTTTATCCTGCTGGAAGTAGCCATCAGAAGATGAGTACACTGTGGTCATAAAGGGATGAACATGGTCAGCAACAATACTCGATTTGACACGGCTGTGGTGTTGACACGATGCTCAATTGGCACTAATGGGCTTAAAGTGTGCCAAAAAACATCCACCACACAATTACACCAACACCAAGGCAGGATGGATTCAAGCTTTCATGTTGTTGATGCTAAATTCTGACCCTACCATCCGAATATCCCAGCAGAAATCGAGACTCATCAGACCAGGCAACATTTTTTCAATCTTCTGGTGTCCAATTTTGGTGAGCCTGTAAGAATTGTAGCCTCAGTTTTCTGTTCTTAGCTGACAGGAGTGGCTCCCGGTGTGGTGTTCAGCTGCTGTAGCCCATCCGCCTCAAGATGCTATTCTGTATATCTCGGTTGTACCGAATGGTTATTTGAGTTACTGTTGACTTTCTATCAGCTGGAACCAGTCTGGCCATTCTCCTCTGACCTCTGGCATCAACAAGGCATTTACGCCCACAGAACCGCCGCTCACTGGATATTTTCTCTTTTTCAGACAATTCTCTGTAAACCACAGAGATGGTTGTGCTTGAAAATCCCAGTAGATCAGCAGTTTCTGAAATACTCCAGCCCATCTGGTCCCAACAACCATGTCACATTCAAAGTCACTTAAATCACCTTTCTTCCCCATTCTGATGCTAGGTTTGAACAGCAGCAGATCGTCCTGACCATGTCTACATGCCTAAATGCATTGAGCTGCTGTGATTGGCTGATTAGAAATTTGTGTTAACAAGTAGTTAGAGAGGTGTACCTAATAAAGTGGCCGTTAGTGTAAACCTCTTTATTCATGAGGAAAACATGGAAACTCCACACAGAAATGCCAACTGACCCAGCCAGGAATCGAACCAGCAACCTTTGGTTAAAACAACTCAACAACAACTTTTTTTTATGTGTTGTTAGCTGTATATTGTCTTTAATGGTTGCAAATCATTTCAATTTTATTTTAAGATTGCAAAAAAAAATGTTGTAGTTTTCATTATTAGTTCATTAAAAGTTTCTTAATTTTAAATTTCAGTTGAAGTTTCATTCAATTTTTGTGTTTTTCTTTTGTTATTTTTTTTAAACAGGCCTATGTTTATACAATTTTTTTAAAATAGAAAACTACAACTTTTGAGAAAATAAACTAACTGAATAATTACATGTTTTATTTATTTTATAAATAGTTTTAATATAAAAATAAACAAAGTTGTTATGAAGTGTGCAGCTATTTTTTCTTATTTGACTGTAATGATGATATTTGAGGATGGTGCGGTGGCGCAGTGGGTAGCGCTGTCACCTCACAGCAAGAAGATCGCTGGTTCCCTCCTGTTCTGGTTTCCTCCATAAGTACAAAGACATGCTTTATAGGTGAATTGGGTAAGCTAAAATATCCGTAGTGTATGTGTGTGTGTTTCCCGGTAATGGGTTGCACCTGGAAGGGTATCCGCTGCGTAAAACATACGCTGGATAATTTGGCGGTTCATTCTGTTGTGGCAACCCCTGATTAATAAAGGGACTAAGTCGAAAAGAAAATGAATGAATAAATGAATGATTGATGCTATTTGAGTTTTAACGGCTCATCTTGCGCACTTTATTCTAGAGAACAGTCAACCGAAGACTTATTTTTCGTCACTTAATGGACAATTTTCTCTAATCTTCTTCCCTTGAAGTGATGATTTATGATTATTTGGCAGGTTCATGTTTGCTCACATCTGAACAGAATTTCATATAAGATGGTGGAATATCATGTAAATATCCATTTTAAAGTCCATTAACAAGCAACTGGAAGGGGAAAAGCAGGGAGGAAGAACATGACTTAGCCGTGGTGAAAAGTTCAACAAAATCACAGATGGTTCACTTATCCTCTTAAGCCAGCTAAATGTGCATTGGTTTTGTTGGAATGATCGTGTAACACAAATTCTGTTTGTTTCTCCTCAAGATTATTGCGTTTGATGAGCTGCGCACAGACTTCAAAAACCCCATCGATCAGAGCAACCCCACCAGAGCGGTAAGGCTTTTCTTAGATCACGATTCCTTTTAAAAGGCTTGAGCTTCTCTTCCGACTGTGAACAGCGGGTTTCAGAATGACTCTCCAGTGTGCATGCACACATGTGAACACACACACACAACATGCATTCCTGTACACCCTTACAAAACACTTGAAGCATGCTGTTAGAAATCTTATTGCATTCTTCTGTGTTTTTCTCAGAGGGAAAGAATATTGAACATTGAGAGAATCTGCAACCTCCTCCGAAGGGTGAGTGAAACTTGAGAAAGTAAGATGGAGAGGACCTTATATCAGCTGTTTTTAAATGTGTTAGGCATGCGCTAATATTACAATTTGGCAAGATTTAATAACATTGCATTACATTCTGGGTCAATTTGAGTCATTTTGATTAGATCAACACACTCATTTTAGATTAACACACTAATGTGCTGCAAATTGGATTTACCAGATTCTGTTACCTTTGTGATGTCCATAGGTAAATATGTCCTGCTAATTTTATGTCCAACTGGAGAGAATAAAAAAAACCAAAGATGTATTTCATAACATCAGTCACTCAGCTAGGTTGTAATGGCGTTTTCATTTATGCATTTGGCAGATGCTTTTATCCAGAGTAATTGTATGTGCATCATGCTTTTTTCAGGTCATGCATATGTTAATTTAGCTGGAAATTGCTTGTTGATCTTAACATTGCAAGTGCCATGCTACATCCACTTGAACTTTCCACTTTGCCTTTCTACATCTATTCCTTGTCCGTTTAAAATGCTAAATTCATTCTTTAATTTTCCACACACACACTCATACACTACGGACAATTTAGCCTACCCAATTCACCTGTACCGCATGTCTTTGGACTGTGAGGGAAACCGGAGCACCCGGAGGAAACCCACGCGAACGCAGGGAGAACATGCAAACTCCACACGGAAACACCAACTGAGCCGAGGATCGAACCAGCGACCTTCTTGCTGTGAGGCGACAGCACTACCTACTGCGCCACTGCGTTGCCTACTAGGAAATTAAAATGCTAAATTGTTGTTGATAATAAATAAGTGCAGGTATAATTTAGTATGGCCTTTTAAGCAGCATTGCACTGAATTTTATTAGACATGGGGTTAGTTCACACAAAAATTTTATTTTTTTTACTATTTACTCACACTCAAGTGGTTGTAAACTATTATAAATTTCATTTTCAGGATGTCAGCGGGGTCTTAAAAAGTCCTAAATTGACTGAAATATTGTCTGTAGATGTTAAATCATTTTAAACAGGTCTTAATTTTTCAGTTTATGTAAAGCTACCCAATCAATCCAACACACATCCAATCACCAACAATACATCTCAATTAAACTTTTAGCAAAACTATATTCATAACTAATATTATACCAGTCTGTTGTGCATACATTTTTTTTAAAGAGTTTTGTTATGTTAAAAAAAATGTACGAATACACCAAGGGTCTACTTGTTTTGACACATTGTTTCAAGTATGTGGCTAAAATATGTGGCTTATTAGTTTTTTGATGGGGCAATTTGTGCTGGGTGATTAAAAATCCTTAGTGTTTAGCCCTATATGAGTCTGAAATGTCATCCTTCATGGTCTTAAAAAGTCAATTTATCAGCTTATCAACAAAAGCAATTTAAAATCATTCAAACCATTAGTAGAAGAATTTCAATTACCAAGAACTGATATTTACAAATAAGAGATTATTTTACAAAACATAAAGAATGGGAGAATATTGTCAATCCAAACGAAATAGAAAAGTTAATGGTGAAAATACTGATGGGAACTACTGGCAAGCAAGTTATTTCTAAACCTCATAACAGTCTGTTATCATATTATCCATATAATACTTTTGCATATAAAGAACGGTGGGAGGCTGAAATTACACAAAAAAAAAAACTGGACAGATATACACTTAGAAGCCCATACAGTAACAAACTCAAATGTATGGAGAAAATTTAAGTGGAAAATCATTACAAGATATTTCCGTACTCCACAAATTGTAGCAAAGATAAGAATAGGCTCATCTAACAGATGCTGGAGAGAATGTGTTGATCATTTAGGGACCCTTTCTCATATCTTTTGGTATTGCCCAAACTGCAGCAGTTCAGGGATGATATCTATGAGGCACTTTGAAATACATTTTGTATTGATATTCCCTTTGATCCAACCGGGGCAGTCCTAGATATTGTACCTGAGAGCATAGCGGGGGGGAAAAAAAAAAAGAGTTAATAACTTCAAATATTGCTTTTAAAATGTATTACGTCTAACTGGCTCAAATCAGACCCACCTACATATAAACAATGGATCAAAACAATTAAAGAAACTTATGAAATGGAAACAACGTATTGCCTTAGACTCCAGATGAATATATTTGAAGATGGAACCCAATTCTTAGAATTAAACATGACTAACTTTAAACATACAACATACATTTAGTAAACAGCCTCATTTTATACACAATAAGTATATGAGACATCTGCCAACCCCCACCCCCCTTTTCATTTCATTTTATTTATTTTTTTTTACCTTTAACACAGTATATATTGTTTTAAAATAACACTGTACAAATGTCTTTCCCTTTTTCTTGTTCTCCCTAATCTTTTCAGTACCCATCTGTATTCGTATTGATTATTTCTGATGTATCTCTGATTTTTTGAAAAAAAAAAAAAAGTTCAATTTGACTTAGTGAAACCCACAGAAACCTCAATTCTTCTGTTTAAGATAAAACTGGATATTCTGAAGAGTTTTGTGCTGAAAAAGCAGCCATTGACATCCATAGTAAACATGGCTGTTTCTTTCAGCGTTCTTCAGTATATGCTCCTTTGTAATAAAACAGAAGAAGAAACTCCAACAGGGGAACAAGTGAAGGATGAGTAATCAATGACAGAATTAAACATATTGGGTGAACTACCCCTTTAACTCTACAGGCCTACTACAGGACTACAGACCTATAAGAAAGACAAACTATAGACCATTTTGATGCATGTAAACAATAACAATGGTCCTAACAGATTTCCTGTTTTACTTTTTAAATTTCTATAGCTTCCCAGAATCCAAAAAGAGCCACATAATGATAAATAATGTTATGATAGCTGTTTTAACATTAAGTTATGATTGAATTGCTTCTTGTTACACTTATGAAATAGTTTATAGACTTGAAACTGTCCCTAACTCTGTTTTCCAGCTGGTTGTTCCAGAATATTCCATCCACGGGCTGTTCTGCCTGATGTTCATGTGTGCGGGGGAGTGGGTGACTCTGGGCCTTAACATCCCGCTGCTCCTCTATCACCTCTGGAGGTACAAACTGTTCCACGCCCTCATCTACTTAACTCCTGAAATTAAAAACAAGTTCCCTGTAGCAATTTCCTCTCTCCTACTGTCAGGTTTTTCCACCGTCCCGCAGATGGCTCTGAGGTTATGTACGATCCAGTGAGTGTGATGAATGCAGACATCCTGAATTACTGCCAAAAAGAGTCCTGGTGCAAGCTTGGCTTCTACCTTCTGTCCTTTTTCTACTATCTGTACAGGTAAATACTCCTCATTTGGTCAACTACTAAGCATTTATATATGAGTAGCTGACAAATATGCAGTACAAATGCTCTTTTTTGTTAAACACCATTTATAAAGATCAAATAGAGTATAACCCTCTAAATAAAGTCTGATGTTTGATAAAATATAAGAGATCATGAACTTTATCAAGTTTAAAACTGTACGCTCTATGATGTGACAGCAAAAATGAAGAAAAACTATTCTTAATAATATCCAAATAATGGGAGAGTGATTTATCCTCATTGTTGGACACTTATATCATAATTCAGTGCTATTTCTTTTATATGAAATTATGAAAAATATATATTTGAAACACTTTTATAGAGATTTCAAAAATTCTGAGACAAAAACTTGACAGGTGCACAGCATGGGCTTCACAAGGGGCTTCAGTCACATGATCTTGATTGGGGTTCTTCAACTAATTTCCTTTCAATTGGCCCATTTAAAATTAGCACATAATGTCAAACCAGCATACCCCAGAGGTTTTCAGTGACAAAATTGATCAAGTTCCTATGTTTTTAAAAATATATAAATGAAAATAATGATTTATTTAAGTTTTTATGATCTTCTTTTTCATTTATTAGAGCTATAATTTACTGAACCATGCTTGAGACAGTCAGATCATAGATTTGGTTAAAAAATGTACAAAATGTAATAACACAGCATTTTTTATTAACAAGGGGTTCAAAGAAGACAGATGTTTAACTATTCAGTGCACATTAAATGATGACAATACTAATTGTCATGTGACAATTTTCGCCAGACCTACACTGAATGTGTGGGGGAAATATATATATATATAAAGAGCTGCACGATTCTGGCTAAAATGAGAATCACGATTTTTTGGCTTAAAATAAAGATCACGATTCTCTTACGATTCTGTAGATGTAAAATAAAGGTATGGTAAAAACAAACATATGGCACAACATCGATAACAATATTATGTGTAGGTCTACTGGTGTCTATAAATTATTCTATTCTACTTATAATAGTTCTGTTGTTGAATTATTATGTTTGAGATACATGCTTGCAATCTGTCATATTAGACAATTTTATTAACTGGTAAAATTAGACATTTGCTATTATCAGATTATATTCAGCATTATATAGAATAGAGTAGTTATACTGAAACTGTACAATTGCTTGTCGTAATCATAAAATGCGATAAGATCATTTAAATGATGTGCACACTTTCGGTTTCATTTTGACTGCCAAGTACTGTTAATACTTCCCGCACGGCTCCCAAACGACCACTCTGTGCCACAAACTGAATATTATTTACAACTGTATTACCTGTTACTCGCAACATACTGTATGCAGGTTCTGTTCCCTAAAGTACACGCACGCGCGTCAATCATTAAGTAGAGCGTGCGGACACGTGCCTTTTCTGCTCACGGTCAGCAGCTCACGTCACGTGTGATTTCCCGGCCGCGAAAACATAATTATATGAAGATAAAAATGACATTTTTAGGTGAACTATACCTTATAAATACAGTATGTGACTCATTCAACATCATTTGGAGGTGTCAATGTCACTGAGCAACGTATGTGAAACAATGAAAAGACTTGACCGCCTTTTCTTCGCCCCTGAACTTGTAAATATGATTGACAGAATACTAGAAATGCAGAATTAAGATCGTCTAGGGGGTTGAATCGAGATCGCGATCTTTTAACGATTATATATATATATATATATATATATATATATATATATATATATATATATATATATATATATATATATATACATACAGTGAATTATTCAGAATTATTACCCCTTGAATTACTAACCCCTGTTTATTTTCCCCAATTACAATAAATTGACAGTAAATAATATTTGACTCGATATTTTTCAAGACACTTCTATACAGCTTAAAGTAACATTTAAAGGCTTAACTAGGTAAATTAGGTTAGCTAGGCTGGATAGGGTGATTAGGCAAGGTTTTGTATAAAGATGGTTTGTTCTGTAGACTATTGAAAAATATATAGCTTAAAGGGGCTAATAATATTGACCTTAAAATGTTTTTTTTTTTAATTAAACAGTTTTTATTCAAGCCAAAATAAAACAAATAAGACTGTTGATCTGCAGGTACAACAGCCAGGCAGGCTGTAAATGCAAATAGTCTCTCTGCCAGCAGCATGTTTCAGAAATAGCGCTTTCTCCGGTAACGGCTGAAATCTAAGCAGCCCTGATCTCTCAAATGGAACTTTCCCAGGCATTATAGCAAAGACTAAATGAAAAACTGTCACCTCGCAGCAATATGGTCGCTGGTTTGAGTCCTGGCTGGGACAGTTGGCATTTCTGTGTGGAGTTTGCATGTTCTTCCTTTGTTCACGTGGGTTTCCTTCCGGGTCTTCCGGTTTCACCGACAGTCCAAAGACATGCACCATAAGTGAATTGGGTAATCAAAATTGGCCTTAGTGTGTGAATGCGAGGGTGTATGGGTGTTTCCCTGTACTGGGTTGCAGCTAGAAGGGTCGGAATAGTTGGCGGTTTATTCTGCTGTGGCGACCCCTGATATATAAGGGACTAAGCTGAAGGAAAATTAATGAATGAATGAATGATAAATGAAAAATGACTTTGAAACTTTTCTGAAGATTTTTGTTCGTCTTTGTAATTCAATTAATTACATTTTATTTGTAAAGCTCTTCTCACAATAGTTCTCAATCTAAAGAAACTTTACAGAAGGTGCACATTATTACATTAAAATAAAAAACAAACAAACTATAACTCAAGATAAGGTGTATTAGATAGATACCTTCATATATTAACCTTCATATTATTTGTGGTGGTTTTGTTATTATGGGACATTCCACCATGATTTTATTATTAGATTTATTATTATTATTATTATTATTATTATTATTATTATTATTATTATTATTATGGCTCTTACTTTTTCCAGGAGATTTATTTTATTGATTTTTTTGAAGGCCTAACTATTAGCCCTCCAATGACATTTTGATTCTTTTCAAATATATGAAATATAATACATGACATTTTGTAAACATTTTCTATTACATTTTTTCGGTGAACTGTATGCAGTTACAAAATCGTCACGTTTAAGTTTTTTTTTTTAAATTTTTATCTACAATCTCCACTGCCTGATAAGTATACGATAGAAAGTGGGGCTCAGATTGTGCAAGAAGCACTGCATTAAATGGCATTTTCTCCATGCCATGTCTTGGAGTATTTTCAGTGGTGTTTCTGCACTCGCCTGCTGATCCTGACAATGTAAACAGCTTTTCATCTTGTATTACGCTTGAACAACTAAATGAATGCTGAAGTCTATTTAACTGATTATATTTTTATTACATTACAACATCGATGCTGTAAAAGGAACCCTATGAAATTGAAAATGTTACAATAACCATTCACCGAAGACTTAACCATACGGGATATTAGTTTTTAGAAATTGGTTATTAAAACCATTGTGTTTAATACAGCACATTAAACACCACTTCAAGAGTTCACACTTAGCTGATGATTGATTATAAAGCTTGTTTAGCATGCTGTCCCAGGAGAGAGCCCTGAGCTCATAAGATCCTCAAGCCCAGGGCTCCCTCGCGTTGCAGAGCGAGAGGGGAGTTAGAGCTCAGGTAGATCTCGAGAACTCCCCTGCTGTTGTAGCTAATGAACAAATAGGGATTGCTATGAAGAGATAACCACTTACTACAAGCACATCTATGGTGCTGATTAGGATTAGTAAATTAGTTGCATGATTTTGGATGGTGGGAGGAAATCGGTGGACCTGCATGGGGAAAACCCACGCAAGCACGGGGAGAGCATGTGAACTCTGGACAGAAACGTTGACTGGCTTGGTAAGGACTAGAACCAGTGACGTTCTTGCTGTACGGCAACAGTGCCACTCATCTAGGAAAGGAGGATGAGTAGAGGTGGAATTTTTCAAAACAAAGATGGCTGTGGTGTGGAACTTAGGTTATTTATCAGACCCCCTAGTTTTTCACGAATCCGCAATCTCTGAATCCAGTGCAAAATCAACAAAAAGTTGAATTTTTTTTGCGATCCTGCAAAATTCTCAATTAAACACAAAATATTTGCAAAAAAATGTAAATAATCTCATAAAACATCCAATTTCAAACCCCATGATCAAAATATCTTTATTTCAGTTTGCAATTAAATTATTTACCCTTAGACATTGCATACGCAGCAGACGTGATGTATTTGAGTGTCGCACCTGCGCCCTAACAAGCATTAAATTACATGCGCAAATTTTGTGCATTTGACTTCAAAAAGTTGCTTCAAATTGCAACAAAAAGTGAGAACAAACATCTAAAAAACGGAGCAATGGAACATACAGAAAAGCAAGCAGCTTACAATGATGGAGATTGGTTTAAAGATGACGGCTGCTGGACTTGATCGAATTGAAAGACATTATTTGTGCTCTACACGTATGGCTGGTATTATGGTGTTCATGAAATCGATAAGTGATTTTGTTAAACTCTTGCCCTGCAGTTAACGAGAGAAAACCAAAACACCAAAAGCCAAACCAAAACCCACGTTTTAGGTGTATAGTAGGGGAAGCCCTAATGCATTTTCTGAGTGAGGTACATGTCAGATGCTCCAGGGAGCGAAATCTGAAAGAGAAAAAAGTAAGTTCATGCATAAAAATTATAGTCTTCCTTTGGCTTGACAAGAGACCAAAATAACGAAGCTTGATTTGTGTCCTTGTCATTGTGTCAGATTAAACAGCTAACATAGTAGGCTACCTAATATGGTAAATAATATATATAGTTGAAGTCAGTGAATTTTTTTTTCTTTTTTATAATTTTTCCAAATTATGTTTAACAGAGCGAGGAAATTTTAACAGTATGTCTGATAATATTTTTTCTTCTGGAGAAAGTCTTATTTGGTTTATTTTTGGCAGAATAAAAGCAGTTTTTAATTTTTTAAACCCTATTTTAAGGTCAAAATTATTAGCCCCTTTAAACTAAATATTTTCTTGATAGTCTGCAGAACAAACCATCGTTATACAATAACTTGGCTAATTACCCTAACCTGCCTACTTAACCTAATTAACCTATTTAAGCCTTTAAATGTCACTTTAAGCTGTACAGAAGTGTCTTGAAAAATATTTAGTCAAATATTATTTACTGTCATCGTGGCAAAAATAAAATAAATCAGTTATTAGTTATTTAGTTAAACTAGTATGTTTAGAAATGTGTTGAAAAATTCTTCTCTCTGTTAAGCAAAAATTGGGGAAAAAAATAAACAGGGGGCCAATAATTTTAAATTCAACTGTATGTATATATATCACAAAATTGTCCGCAAATTTCTGGGAATTACTGCCACAAACATGACATGACAATGACATTACTGTCATTTTTATTGCGAAAAATCACAAAAATATTACATAAATAAAACAAAATCGCGAAAACTTGGGCGTCTGATTTATAGAGACTTAGGAATCTTCTGATTGGTAAATAATTAATTGGCTAATGCAGGACCAGCTGTGTTCAATCATTAGCATGTGATACTCTCGAAACTTCACTTAAATAAAAAAATGTTTTCACAATATTCGGTTTTTACTGTTTTTCAATCAAATGAATGCAGCCTTGGTTAGCAGAAAATACATCTTACTAAATATTTTTATTTAGTAAGCCATTTTAGCCATTTTAAACTCATTATCTGCATTTTAAACTCATTATCTGCAAACTGTTTCTTTGTGTTCCGTCTTTCTTAAAGTGCTTGTTTCCTTTATGTAGTTTTGTATGCTCTACTTCATTCATTCCTTTCTGTCTGGGTCTCTTTTGCAGTATGGTGTACGCTTTGGTCAGCTTCTAAGTGATCAAATGAAGGACGGAGGAGGACTCTAAAAAGAGAAGAAGAGAAACGACAGAACAAATACCGAACTATGTTGCGCTCTCCTCTCCTCATTTCCACAGACCTTGTTCAGCTCCTCCTCAGATCTCCTGGGTGGGGATGGACGATGGACAGATGTAGAAAACGGAGCCATCAAATGTAAAGCTGCCTCAATCACTGCCATTAAAAAAACACAAAAACAAGAGGACAGGTGGAACCAAATGAAAACGAGTGCAATAGAGAGCGAGAAGGAGGGGAAATGGTGAACAAAAGGCTCAGGCAGTGTGGATGTTTTGTAACACCGTTTCATTTCTCAAGGGCTGCTGAACATTTCCGCTGCTCATAGCAACAAAACGCTTCTTAACGCCGACGAAGAGACACACAACCAGACCAATACCGAATGTGTTTCCTTGAATTTAAAGTCAACAGATCTTGGACTTTACGTTGCAGTGTCCTTTCTTTTGCAGATAACAACCACTTCTTTTGTATGTGTGTGCGTGTGTGCGTCAGAGTATTTAATAACTGCTAAGTATTTGCTATTTCAGTATTCGTGGTAGATATACCTATACAATTACCCTGTATGTAGAGGTATAATATAATAATAGATTAAATATACGGCTCAGTTGTTGCAGTTCAGTCAGGGTAGTTCTCTTAGTGTCCTTAAAACAAACAAACAAACAAAAAAATGCACAAGAACTCTATTTTTACGTCCAATCAGATGGCGAAGTTTACAGACGCTTCAAAAGCAAATCAACCAATGAGATAAAAATACAAGCCGGAGAAACTGTTTGAGGAGCATTGCATCTGAGGATTGACCCCTAGATGTTCATCCGTCACGAGGACCAAGCAGACTCTTAATTGAGACGGGCGTGCGGGACGGCCCGTGCACAAGAGATCTGACCCCGAGCTCTCAAATACTCGATAGACTGTGACCAATCATAAAAGCACTTTTCGGAAAGCCAACAGATGAACTGTAGCAAATCGACAGAGGACGAAAAGCGAAGACGTTCACAGATGATGCTTTTGACAACAGACTATCAAACACAAACTCTTCAGGCAATCGTCTGTGTTGTTAGATTATATACAACATTAATTGTTGTGTGTATATCAAATAGGGCCTCTCGAAACACCTCATTTGGAGTTCCCGTTGTTGTGCTGTGTCCATGGGTCTGCTAAACCAGTAGATTTAACAATTATTTAACTAAAGCTGTGGCTTCGTAGATGAATAGAGTGGCCAATGCATCACTCATGAACTAGAACGCCTTCATTATGACATTTATACACACGCACAAATTGAATAACGAGTGCTTTTTTAGCAACGCCGCCATATCTGATTTAAACTCCTGGGTCTTGTTTTTAATTTCTCCATCTTGGCTTTGACTTGATGTACCCTCAAAAATGTGAATATTTCTATTCTGGACAATCGCTATTAGTGGGCCGAGAGACAGCCGAGTAGGGTCTTCATTATAGACGTCATCTCTGAATGTCTTTTTGTGATTAATATTAGTTCACATGCAGTATCCGCATTTAAGAATATCTGCATGATTTTTGTCTTTTATACAAGATTCATTAACGTACGCTACAGCACCTTTGGTAACTTTGAGTTCTGTGTTCAGTTGAACACGGCCGGATATCTTATATACTCCGAAAGCAATTCCACATGTTGTAATAAAACAATGTTGCTGACTACAAAAAAAATAAGTTTGTTGATTTTTTTTTGTTTGTTTGTTTGTTAATTTTTCGTTGGTGTGGAAAGTAAACGTGTATTTTTTTAATTCTTTATACAGCAAGGATGCATTAAATGTGATGGTAAACATTTAATAAAACGCAATTATAGCAATAAAACACAGTTTTGTGTTACTTTGTATACAAGATAGTAGGGTTAGGTCGATGCCACACACTTGGGGTGCTTTCACACCTAAACTTTTGTTTCGGAACCTGTCTCGTCTGCCCAGTTAGCGCGGTTCGTTTGGCATATGTGAATCCAGCAATCGCGCTCGGATCCGCGCCAAAACAATCGATCCGAGATCGCCTGAATGAGGTGGTCTCGGCTCGATTAAAAAAAAATCTGAAGTGGATCGATTGTAGAGAGAAAGCGATACGATCCGAGCCTGGAAAATAAGTATTTAACATGTCATCATTTTTCTCAGGAAACATATTTCTGAAGGTGCCGTTGATTTGAAATTTTCACTGGATGTTGGTAACAACAAAAGACATCCACAAATGCAAAGAAAACAGACCTAATTAGTTTACAAATGAAGTTGTGTAATGAAATGACACAGGGGAAAAGTATTGAACACATGAAGAAAGGGAGGTGTAGAAAGGTAGTGAAAGCCTAGACAGCAAGTGAAATCCCTCAGTAGTTCTTCAGCAACCCTCTACCTTTTGTCATTGTAAATTAATTTCAGCTGCTTCAGTTCATCATCTACATTACCAGGATGATAACCAGAGTGGACATTTCAGCAAGATTAGATCCAAAACACAGACAAGGAAACTCTCAAATGCTGTCAGAGAAAGTAAATCACGCTCAGCCAATCACTGGACTTGAATCCAATAGAAAATCCAAATTAAAGATCAAATTTAATAGACGAGACCCACAAGATTTATACACTCTGTTGAAGTCTGTAACAAAAATCACTCCTGTGCAATGCAGGTGACTTCCTTCTCTATATGTGAGGCATCTTTAGGCTGCCATCCACTTTCATACAAAGTATTAAATAGGTTTCAATAGTTCAGTACTTTCTCCTTGTTTCAATTCATCAGTTTTTTTTTATTATTATTTTAGATTTTTTTTTTTGTATTGTTTGGGTTTTTACCAAAATCTAGTTCAATTCCATGTCAACAGCTCCTTTACAAATATTATTACCAGGAAAAAATATGATGTGTTCAATACTCATTTCCCCACTGTATTCTGGACTACTAAACAACATCTATCATGACCGTTATAAATAAAGTGACATGAATGGATGTTCACAGTATTACATTTAGATATGCAAGCATTGCATCAGTTATTTTTCTTTTTCATTTCTTCTTTTGATTGGACGAACACAATAGAGCACAACAGTCATTGTTTCTAAAGAGAAAGCTAAACCTTTAAAGACAATCCTATTCTAAGCTTTGAGGTTGCATTGAATGTTTTTCAAAGAGCCCATCAATTTGCATTTGGCAGAATTTGTGCAGGAAAACTACATTACCTATTTATATTTAGACCAACGAGAACAACATCAGTGTAATCGAGCGATCTCAAAAATCCTTTAATATTTGTTCACATGTGTACATTTTGTAATACACATATATTTTTTTTATATATAGAGTTCACATAGATATTGTTTGACGAGTGTTAGCAAGTTTGGGATGCTGTCCCGTGAGAGAAACTATAAATTAATAATTGAGCCCAGGGCTCCCGTCTGGTCGATTGAGCATGTAAGGGGAGTACGAGATCATTTTCAGACGTTTTCAGTTTGTCTATTAAATTTATGATTAAACATGTTTGCATAAACAAAAAAATTAAGAGGGATGCGAAAAACAAGCATTAAAAAATGAAATTGGGAAGTACAAAGCACTCAAGGTGGTTCTTGGTCCTGCTTAATAAGAGGGTTCCTCCAGGAATTCTTAAGTTCCTCAGAGAACCACCCCTTTTGAAAGGGTGCCTAGAGGTTCTATTGACAAATTCCTGGTTTGTAAACATTCAGGGTGCATGTGCAGCGAGGTTGCAGAAAAAAAACGGGAGCGCTAGCATTAACAGCTATAGGGAATAACATCCAATGCCGTACAGCGTTTGTTGTTGTTTTAGAGATAAGTTTTGTTGATTATTTATTGTATAAATATATATATATATATATATATATATATATATATATATATATATATATATATATATATATATATATATATATATATATATATATATATATATATATATATATTATTTACATAATGCTTTCAACGTTTTATAACAGCTTGTCACCCAGTGATAAACACAGTTATTCTGCAAAATTAACGTTAAAGTGACCGGCGTTCATCTGACAGGTCCATTTTGCAATAGCATCCTGCTTATGGATACTGGATACGACGAAATGGCCAGCATCCAGCCCGAAATATACAACTATCTCATTAACAACAAGTGATTTTACAAGAGAGAAATTAAAGGCCTACAACTCTTTGGATGCCAAAAATACCAGATTCAACACTATGTAGAACCGAGGTTCTGCCTAGCCAAAGACAAGGAAAAAAGACAGAACAGTACAAGGCCTGGGTAATCATCAACAAGCAAAACAACTCTATGGCAACTGCACCTGTATGGTAGGGTATGTGAACCTACATTTTTACATTTCATTCCAAGCATTCAGTCTCCGGAGTTTAATTAACCATATTTAACTGTTTTTGCTGCAATCAAAAATGAGTAATGTGTGTGATTCACAGGGCCGCTGCTGGCCAAAAGGGTGCCCTATGCAAAATTTTAATGTGGTGCCCCCACAGAGGAACAAAATCACACAAAAATATGCGTAAAAACATGTATTTATTTATTTATATACATAAACACTCAAAATTATACTTAAACATTCAAATATTTAAATTACAAAATAATAGTTTACATCAAAATAAACACTGACATGTCTTCTACAGAAGCATTCCCAATTTCAAACATTTACAAAAGGTAAGGAATGAAGCCCTCTCTGTACCTGTAGAGATGGACGGTTCTCAGTGCTGCAACCTGTGTCTGTACATGTGCAACTGCTGGTGCCTCTGGAGCAGTGCTGGTCATGCCAGCTCATCTTCTTTTGTGACAAATTTCAGCATTGAACCTCCATGTACAATACAGAAAAAAATTATTCATTTAAAAAAAAAAAACTCATGACATACTAGTAAAACAAGGGACTAGTCAAGCACTCCTCATGAAGTGTCTAAACTACAACCAACATGTAGATTAAATTGCACTATAATCTACGGTGACAAAAGCTGGCCCTTGCTTTCAGTATTAATCAGAAATAATAGTTGTTTTTAACCTTTTGATGGACTACATGGGTCTAAAGTGACCCGCCTATGTTAATTTTTCTATGTGTATTTTATAGCTTGTGCATGAAAGGGTTAATAATCAATGAGTGTGCTTTTAAACAAAAACTTTGTTAAAATTCAGAAGAAGAAAAAAAATCATTAATGAATTTATGCAATAAAATGGTTTATGGCCTGTGGTTTACAGTAATTTGACTCATTTTATATTATTGATCTTTCAGAAATCACAGAATGAGTCAGTTTTGTTATTTCATATTGTACACTCTCAGAAATAAAGGTACGCAAGCTGTCACTGGGGTGGTGCCTTTTCTTGTGCTTTTCATATTGGTACCTAAAAAGTATATATTAGTAACTATACATTTTAAGAGAAACACTTTTGTATCTTTTAGGTACTAATAAGTACCCTTGAGGTATTAATGTGGACCTTTTAGATACAAATATGTTCCATTTGAAAAGGTACCACCCCAGGGACAGCTTGCATACCTTTATTTTGAGTGTATACAAAAATGAAAAACTGGTCTATTAAAAACACACCAATCTACTGATGTGAAGACTAAAGAGACTTTACTGCCGTTGCAGTGATACAAGCAATAACAACAGCAGCAATAGAAAATGTATAGAAATAGACAAAACAATAATAACTGCAAAGAATAAAATAATA